TTTTTTTTTTCAATTTTTTTTAATTTTTTTTTTCTTAATTATTTTGAATTTTTTTTTTTTTTTTTTTTTTTTCATTTTTTTTTTAATCCGAGCAGGAATTTTTTTTTTTTTTCAAATTTTGGGGGATTTTCACCCCCTGAAAATTTGGGCGGGGTCGGAGCAGGCAGGGGAGGGAATTTGGGGAATTTGGGGGATTTTTGGGGTGAAAAAAGAGGATTTTGGGCCCGAGCGAAGCCCCCACTTACGGGCACCAACTTCCAGTACCAGCGGGTGGGACACTGGGGAGAGAGGGGGGGTCAGAGGGACCCCAAAATCTGGGGGACCCAAAATCTGGGGGACCCAAAATCCGGGGGACCCAAAATCCGGGGGACCCAAAATCCGGGGGGACCCAAAATCCGGGGGGACCCAAAATCCAGGGGGACCCAAAATCCAGGGGACCCCGAGAGCCGCGGCAGAGGGGAAAGAGAAAGGGGCGGGAAATGGGAATTTTTAGGGGAATTTCGGGAGAAAAATTGGATTTTTCAGGAATTTTTTGGTGAATTTATGGGGATTTTTTGTGGATTTTTTTGCTGGATTTTTTGTGGAGTTTTAGGGGATTTTTTTAGGATTTTTTGGAGATTTTTTTTAAGGATTTTTGGAGATTTTTTAAGGATTTTTAGGGAATTTTTTAGGATTTTTTGGAGATTTTTTGATGATTTTTTTAGGGATTTTTTTCTGATTCTTTGTGGATTTTTTGTGGATTTTTTTTGGGGGTTTTTTTGGGATTTTTTTAGGATTTTTTTGTGGATTTTTTTTGGGTGATTTTTTCCAGATTTTTTCGGGGATTTTTTGTGGATTTTTAGGGCATTTTTAAAGGATTTTTTTGGGATTGGTTTCTGATTCTTGCGGATTTTTCAGCATTTTAGGGGATTATTTTGTGGATATTTTTGGGGCTTTTTTTCGGAGTTTTTGGGGAATTTTGTGGATTTTTTTGTGAATTTTTTACAATTTTTGGTGATTTTTTAGGATTTTTTGGGGATTTTTTTTCTGATTCATTGTGGAATTTTTTAGCATTTTTGGGGATTTTTTTAGGATTTTTTGTGGATTTTTTTGGTGATTTTTTTCGGACTTTTTGGGATTTTTTGGGGGAATTTGTGGATTTTTTTGTGAATTCTTTACAATTTTTGGGGGGATTTTTTTAGGGTTTTTAGTTATTTTTAAAGGATTTTTAGGGATTTTTTTAGGATTTTTTTTGGTAATTTTTTTGGGGATTTTTTCAGGATTTTTTGGGGGATTTATTGTGATTTTTTGTGGAATTTTTGGTAATTTATTGGCAATTTTGAGTGATTTTTTTGTGGATTTTTTGTGGTTTTAAGGAAAATTTTGGGATTTTTTGCTGGATTTTTGGGGCATTTTTTAAGAATTTTTAGGGATTTTTTGTGATATTTTTTCATTTTTTTCTGTGTTTTTTTTCAGATTTTTGGGTGATTTTTTGTGGGACTTTTTAGGATTTTTTTGGTGGTCTTTTTGTGATTTGTTACAGATTTTTTAGGATTTTTAAAGGATTTTTTTTAGGAATTTATTTGCCATTTATTGGGATTTTTGGTGGCTTTTTGGATGGTTTTTTGTGATTTTTTAAATTATTTTTTGAGGTTTTTTTAGGATTTTTTTTGAGATTTTCTTAGGATTTTTTTGTGGTTTTTTTAGGATTTTGAGGGGATTTTTTTGGCAATTTTTTGGGGATTTTTTACAATTTTTCGGGGACTTTTTGGGATTTTTTTGGGGGATTTTTTGGGATTTTTTGGAGCTGAGACATTGAGAAAAGAGCGACCACAGCAGAGAAGGGACAGAAAAGGTGGAAAATGAGATTTTATGGGATATTTTGGGGAAAAAAACTGGATTTTTCTCGGATGTTTTTTTTTGTTTATTTGTCATTTTGTTTTTTTTTTTTTTTTTTTTTGGGTTTTTTTTGGTTTTTTTTTTTTTTTTTTTTGTATTTTTTTTGCAATTTTTGGGCATTTTTTGGTGACTGAGGATTATTTAATGCATTTTTTGTGGATTTTTTTTCTTTTTTCTCTGGATTTGTTGTCAATTTTTTTGGCGATTTTTTAATGCATTTCTTGGGATTTTTTTGGTGGATTTTTTAGGATTTTTTTGGAATATTTTTGTGGGTTTTTCGTGCATTTTTTAGGATTTTTCCCTGGATTTTCTTCAATTATTTTTTTCTTTTTAAACGATTTTTCAAACACATTTTTAGGGATTTTTTGGGGATTTTTGGGGGGGACTTTTTGTGGATTATTGGCGATTTTTGGTGGAATTTTCCTGCCTTTTTTTACCCTTTTTTTTTCCAGTTTTTCCCGTTTTTTCCCGTTTTTTCCCCATTTTTTCCCATTTTCCACCCCCAAACCCCCCAACCTTGTTGGCTCCCGCCGGCGCCGCTTCGCCGCCTCCCGGATTTTGGGGGTTCCCGGAATTTTGGGGGTTCCCCGAATTTTGGGGTGTCCCCCCCCCCTCCTGTTCGGTGCTTTCCTGCAGCTTCCGATTCACCTGAAAAAAACACCCCAAAATTCAATTTTTTTTCCCTTTTTCACCCCAAAAAAAACCCCAAAAACCCCCAAAAAAATTCCAACTCACCGTGTCCAACCAGGCCAAAATTTTGGCTTCCCAATTTTGGGGTCCCGGGGGGGCGCCGGGGGGGGACCCCAAATTTCGGGTGGCCTCGGCGACAAACGCGGCCATGAGGGAATCGATCAGCGCCAGGTGGGCGCCCTGCGGGGTTTGGGGCGAAATTTGGGGATTTTGGGCAAATCTGGGGGAAATTTGGGGTTTATGGGGGAAATTTTGGGGGGGAATTTGGGAAAAATTTGGGAAAAATTTGGGGTTTAGGGGGGAAATTTTGGGGGGGAATTTGAGAAAAATTTGGGGCTTAGGGGGGAAATTTTGGGGGGAAAGCAGGAAAAGTTTGGGGTTTAGGGGAAAAATTTTGGGGGGAATTTGGGAAGAAATTGGGGTTTAGGGGAAAAATTTTGGGGGGAATTGGGGAAAAATTTGGGGTTTAGGGGGAAAATTTTGGGGGGAATTTGGGAAAAATTTGGGGTTTAGGGGGGAAATTTTGGGGGGGAATTTGGGAAAAATTTGGGGTTTTGAGGGGAAATTTTGTGAAAAATTTGTGTTTTAGCAGGGAAAATTTGGGGTTTTGCAGCAAAATGTGAAGTTTTGGAAAAATTTTTGAAAATTTTGGGTTTTGGGCGGAAAATTTGGGTATTGGGAGGGTCCTGGGTGGGAATTTGGGGGGAAATTTGGGGTTTGGGGGGAAAATTCGGGGTTTTGGGAGGAAATTTAGGGGGAATTTTAGAGGTTTGGGGGTAATTTTGGAGAAATTTGGGGAAAATTTGGGAAATATTTGGGAAATATTTGGTTTTTACAGGGAAAATTTGGGCTTTTGGGGAAAATTTGGGGGAATTTTGGAAGTTTGGAAGGAAACTTGGGGCAAAATTTGGGTTTTAGGGGGGATGTTTGGGGATTTGAGGGAAAATTTGGGGTTTTGGGGGTCTTGAAAGAGAAATTTGGAGTTTTGGGGGCAAATTTAGGGATTTGGAGAGGAAATTTGGGGGTTTAGAGGGAAAATTTGGGGTCTTTGGGGTGGAAATTCGGGATTTGGGAGAAAAATGTGGGGGTTTGAGGGCAAAAATTTGGGTTTTTTGGGGAAAATTTGGAGTTTGGGGAGGAAAATTTGGGAAAAATTTGGGGGTTTGGGGTCATGG